TGCCCGAAATAGTGCGGCAAATTGCATAATTTATGAAATATTTTATTTTGAACAAGAGACCTCTCATTGGTGGATGGAGAAGATTTATAAACATTTATCTTATGTTTCTATTAATTTTTTTCCTCCTTATTCATTGCTATGATGTGGATTTAGGTTCAGGCTTTAGCATCCAATGTTTACATTTGCATAAAAAGATGAGGGGTTGGTTAGGTAACAGGAGAAAAGTTATTTTTTATAAGAGAGTGATGGTGTCCTTATGAAGAAAGAAGAGTTGGTTAGGTAAAACGGGAGCGGAGAAGGGACGTTAGAGTAGAGAGAGGGAGAGAGAGATGTGGCACTGAAGTACTTGTAAGTCATATATATATTTAGAGAGATGGCAAGATAGAGGATTGAAGAGACTCTTATATGGTTGGTTGAGATAGAAATGGGTAACGTGAGGAGGGAGAAGGAAATGGTTAAGAGAGGAACATGACATAGAGATAGAATAATAAGGGGAAGGCAAAGGCGATTTTAATGGGGTTTATAGTAGAATAAATAGAATACACAATAACGAGAGAAAATATGACATACAAGGGGCCTACGAGAGAATTGTTCATATTTCAAGTGAAGGAGAGAGAATGGAGGCAGCGAATAATGAAGAGAGAGACAAGGATGGATAAGTGGCTTAAATAAATAGCCAAAAAAAGGAGATTGGGATATTAGAATAGTTATGTACGAAGGCTAGGCTATGGGTTTGGGAAGAAAAAAGGCAGGGTTAACAATGAGCCAAAATGGGACATGAGAAGAGAAAACATTGATTATAGTGGATGATGGGATATGAATGATAAAGAAATAAGCACAATGAAAACTTTATAGATGCTTAGATGTCAATCTTTATCAAAGTGTAGAGTATCAGCTTTTCTTATTGTTGAAGATGAATTTTGGGATGAAGTTGAGCTTTGATACAAATAAATGTTGAGGCATGGTGGAAATAGTTGAGGAAGGAGGAGAGAGGTGGAGGGAAGAATAAGAAATTTAACAAAACCAACAAAGAGAGAAAGATATGCAAAGCATCAAATATTTCTTCCAATAACCACAATCAAAATCAACTGCTACTCAGCTCATGTACCTTTATTTTTAATACAATATCCTATAGGATAAGACTAAATAATCAAACTTATCCTAACCTGCATAATTGATAATGTTATCCATGAAAATTAAAATAAAGTAAAATAAAGGGACTAAAAATGAACCAAGAAATTAGTATAATGATAACAACACTGAAATGACCGACATGACACATAATTCACATTTCTTCTGAATCAATCAATCAATTAAGAAACAAAAAAATTTGGTGTATTGACGAGAAGAGAAACAATGATACAATTAGCCAAAATTGTAAGAGTTCTATAAATAAGATTAATATGAATGAAGCATTGTAAGTGTATAAATGCTAATCATGAGACCATAAAAGCTCATGGTTCATAACATGTAAAGACGTTTCTATACCGCAAGCTTGACATCACTAGGAGACAATATTTCCAAAAAGGTGGAAAGAATACTTGGATAATACTTTATTAAGATTCTTCAAACACATAATCCAAAATGGTATTGGAAAGGTCTATAAAATTATACCAGGCTCAATTCAAAACTGTTAGAATTGTACATTAAGGAGTTATATTTATAAATATAAAGAAATAGAAACAAGAATTGACAACTCGCAAGAAGAGAAAAAAACAAAAATTGCAATGCAAAAAGGCCATATATATATGCTGCATTTTGTAAAAGTGAACAAGGAACAAGCTTTCTGCAACCATAATAAACTTACTCACACTATCTCAGTGTAGCGCAGTCTCCAAGCAGGGAATCCTAAATGGCATCTTACAGGTCCAAACACGAGAAGGAGATTTGGCTCCGGTCCACCACAACCTATCGAAAGAGGCAAATGAGTAAAAATATGTTTCAAAATGAAAAAGCTATTGAAATGCTACAAAATATCATAATACTATGACGAATAGAAATTTGCTAATTTGATGAGCATGAGCAAGGGAAGCTCACCGACAGCATTAAGAGCATCGAACATTTCAGTTTCTGTAATACTGGGATCCATTTTGTTGCTGCTTGCAAGTTGTTCCTCCAGATACTTGGTGCATAAAAAGCTAGCTGCTTTGGCAATTCCTTCGTTATCGTTGAAAGAAAGAAGTTCTATAACCATTCTATCTTTATGCAGCACTGAAGTTCCGCCCTTCACATAGACATCATACATGCTAAGCATACTAACTTATCATATAAAACAAAAATTTCAAAAAAATTATAACAAATCAACATTGTTATTGTTATAAATTATAGTGCTGCTCATTTTGGGGTTTGAGTTGTTTGATTTGAAAGTGAGGCACACTATCACCCATTATTATTGTTGACGTGCCTAACTTGCCAAATGCCATGAGGGTATAATCTAGCTTTTTTCATGAAAATCTTGAAAATTGTTGCCAAAGTTCTAGGAATGAGTACTTCCTACATATTTGTGCTTTGGCACTCAAACAATCAAGTAAAAGATTTAGGCCTGATTATATTACAAAAAGCTTCCACAGAAATTTGCCATCAAGACTTACACGTCACTTAAAAAAAAAGCATCCAACCAAAAAAAACAAGTTGAGAGAAAACAATAATTTTATTAAACAGTTGATTGATTTTTATAAGCCTCAAAGGTTAGATTTAACCCAAAACAGGCAATTTCTTAGAATTCCCAAACATTCGCATCATACTGAGAGTCTCAATTTTAAATGAATATAAAAAACTTGAGAAGAAAACTAAAACAACACCAAAACTTAGAATGACCATGAGCTCGTCTCAATGCTAACATCCTGGTTTTTTGACGAGTTAACATTCAAATTCCACCATCTCTATATAAGCTATTCTTATCAAATTCATAAAGAAAAAAAAAACTATTTTTACATACAAATGACAACATTAACACTATTAAGAACATTAAAACTAGTATTAAGAAAATTGATCTATTGTGCTTTAGAAGAATGCTACTTATAGTGACAAATGAAAGTGATGAGATACAATTTAGCCCAATTGTGGTAAAAAATAGCAAGGAATGACTAGTCACTAGCATCTGAAGTGTCACAACTTAACCCGACTGTGATGAAAGTTGGGCAAGTATTAAATAGTTATAAATATAATATTTGCTCTGTGATTAAAAATATGGGTGATTTGAATAAAGGAAAATAATAAGTGAATATAATGATCATAAGAAGAATAGATATTGGATGAAATGACGTAAGAGAAGGGTATAGGCAAAGATCAACAAAAGAAATGAGAAAATGATATTGATGGATGAAGTGATAAAATATAAAATTATTGAAGTTAATAAAATTGTTGATAAGAAGATTGTTATTAAGGGTTGTTTAGGGTAGCTGCAACTTATCCAGCTTATCCAGAGAAACAACTTATCCTGATAAGCTGTTGATCAGCAGCTGATCCGGATAAGCTTGCTAATCCGGATAAGCTAGCTAGCTGTTTGGTTTGTGCTTTGGAAAACAACTGATTTGCAGCTGTTTCTGGATAAATGACCATTTGTAAATGATCATTTTGTCCCCGATCTATGTAAGTTGGCTAGCTGTTTGGTTTGTGCGTTTGGAAAACAATTGATTTACAGTTGTTTTTGGAAAACAACTGTTTTGCAACACGATTGAGAAATAGACCAAGAAAAAAAGTGCAAGAGTGCAAGAAGGAAATAGTGAAGAAGAGCATGGCAAAACAAATGCAATATTTTTACTTCATAGTACTCTTGAGGTATAAATTCATTTTAATCACACATTTGAAGGCTAGAAAGTGTCATCCATATTCCCATCTATGGCAAAACAAACAAAAAATACTTATAGCTATCCTCTCTATATGTCAAAAATTAATTACTTTGCCCAAAAAAATTACTTCCATAGTAAATTTGTCAGGCAAATAAATTTTAAAAAATTTATGTGAATTTTCTTATCTATGTTTCGACAATGACATAAATTCCTTGTGTGATTCATATGTTCAATTCTAATTAAATAACCATAGCTTTAAACATCAAAGGGGCATTCTGCAAATTAACCCATGGGACAATTTCACTTCAGCTTGTTCAAAGTGATGTCAAACCCTAGGATGGAAGTGTACCAGTTGAACAATTTTTTCCTCTGTTAGGGGGTGAGAACAAAACAGATCGAAGTTGGGGGTCATTACGACATGAAAAATTAAGTTGTCATTACACCTTCGTATCAAATGCATAGGGCTGCTTCTGCTATTTTCGCCCAATTTAAACCAGCTTTCCTCGGTTATTCATCTCGAATGAGATTCATGTTTTCAAAGCACAACTTGCAAATCGAATTCCATGAAACGTTCATCGAATCAAAGTAAAGATCAGTCATTTATTAGTCAAAAGAGCATTTATTTTTTTGTAAAAATCTGACAAATAATAAAACACGCTGCCAAAACATTTACTTGAATATATACTTCATCGCCACTATCATGCAAATTCCAAAACGAGAAAAGTCGAGGCAAGCAAATGTAGCAATGACAAAAATATGGTGGAAATAGAATCCATAAATGTTTCAAGCAAAGCAGACAGGTGGAGAAGAGAAAATGAATCTATAAACCGAGGCAAGCAAATGCAGCAATGACAAAGGGAAGAAAGAAAGCTTTAAGAGAAAACGAGCAAAGCAGTCAGCAGGAGAAGAGAAACCTGGAAAGCTGAGAAGTAGAAAACCGAAGAGAGGAAGAACCTGGAGTTGCAGAACATAGCTTTTAGAGAAACTCAAAATGTTTGGAAGCCGCAAAAGCTAGGGTCCCCGGACGACAACTCCAAATCCCGGTAGTGGAGAGGAAGCCATGAAAAATTAGCGGCAGCCGAGCTCCGTAAAGCAGGAGGAAAACGAAATGGAAGGACACGGGAGCGGAGGCAAGCAAGGAGGGCAGCCGGGTAAAGTCACACGAACGAATGCGGACAGTGAAGGCAAGCAAGGAGGGCAGCCGGGTAGTTTATTTAATAATCGGAAATGGCAGATTTAAAAACGCAGGTGAGAAGCTGTTACCAAACGGCATGGCGGCGTTGTCAAAATGTCGATGCCCGCGAAAACAAGCTGCCCCAAACGAGTCTTAAGTTAAATACTTAGACAATCCAAATTCTTATTCATCTAGATATTATTTGCATTAGCTTAACATGTTTCAAGATTTTGTCCCTTTGTGAAACTTTCTAAGAGGTTGCCCATACTACAAATGCTCTAGCATGAGCACACTAATTTTGGAGTCCTTGTTGAAACTCTAATAGTGACAGCAAAAGGAATCTTTATTTTTAAGAGTTGTACTTCATTGTACTTGAGGAAACTTATAATCCACTTCATTCATGAAATTGGCTTCCTCCTCTATTGACCTCACACATGGGCCCAAATTAACCACTAGACAAATAAGCTTCTAGAGACAGGCAATAGAGATTTGAAGAGGTCACTCATTAATGGCCTTACAAATAAACCAAAATCATCATTGAGAAAGAGTTCTCCCATGGATGGGCCTAAATTATCCACAAGACAAAACAAGTTCTAGAGATAACCTCTGGAGTTTCAAAAAGTGGCTCCTTAATGGCCTACAGAATAAACTCCTATAAATGAGCATGTTTTGGAGCCAAACTTGGCATAACAAACTACTAGGGCCCAGTTCACGAACGAGACAGAAAATAGGGTTCCATTAATGAAGTAGTAAAGATAGTTGATTTATTAAGGGAAAATATATCTAGGGGAGAAAAGTTTCAAGGCATAAACTACATTAAACAAAGGATTATGAGCGCCTTCACAAGAAGACACATGATGAGATATCTAATGAGAAGGCCCTATTATACAAAAAGATTGTGAAGTAAGCTTGAATAGTATGCAAAAGAGGAAGCCACGATCAGATCTAGTGAGGAAAGAGATAGGTAGCAAAGGAGGTGAAGAAGGGGACAAAAAGAAAGAGATTGAAGATCCTTGTGCTGCATAGATGATATTTCAGTCTCAACAATCTAGACATGAAAAGGATCCATTCCCCATCCAAGAATATGACCAAGCTAAAAAGAATAATCATGTAGTTAAAGCAAACTATGGAGGTGCTAGCTCACAAATTTCAAGGGCTACAACATTTCAAAAAATATGCGCAGCTGGTAGTAAAGTATATGGAGGCATGAATTTCCGGCCCTTCTTGATTCCCGATTTTTGTGAAGCATAGAAAGAAGTTGGAATATCTCTAGAAGGGTGTCCTGTCATTAGAGAAAAGTTGATGGTGTAAGCTGAGAGGTATTAGATGAGAAGATGAATCTTAATAAGATGATAAATGAATGTTTCAACAAGTTGTATAAAACGATACTACATTGTTCGCAAGAAGAATATTCATTCAATGAAACAAAATTGTGGCCAAAATATCCGAAAAGCCTTCCTGGAAGTAAGGTGAAGGTCAAACAATTGGAGAGATCTTCACTGTGGTGACACTTACTTATGTGGTTCTAGAGGCATTGTTAATGTGAGCATCATGAGGTTGTGACAAGATTGCTAGATGACATCAAGCTCATGTTAGCGATACATAAAACATTTAAGAGAGCGTTCTCCCTTTGGGAGCATTTGAAGGGTCACCAAGAAGAGGGGAGAATGCCAACGTGGCATGGACCATTATTTTTCTTGAAGGAACATTCGGTGATGAAGAATGTATTTTCTTTTATTTTTATTCATTTTTGCTTTTGACATGCTAGCTCTTACTAATGTGTTTTGATTAGTAAAGGGAAAGAATGTAAATAGTTTTCCTTTCAAGTGAAAGATGTGGTCCTAATGATTAAAAATAGCTTTTTGAAGCAGGATAGACTAGAAGTAACATTGAGGGGTGTTGACTGAAGCAGAGATGAGAAATGTCCTTTTCAAATTTTCCACATTAAAAAAGGTCTCCACTTTTTTTTGTATTTAAGCACTCATGTGCATGCATTAAATAGAGGTTAAGATAATCAAAGTTGATTGTCACTTTACAAACTCCATTCTCTAAGCATAATGAGGTTAAAATAAGATGGTGTACGAGATTAGAAAAATTGTGTGCGTGATATTCATTAATTTGGATAGCAAATCTTGTTAAAAATTACACAAAAACCATGTTGAACAAATTGTAGAAGCATATGATAATTACAAAAGAACCTGATACGAATCAGAAACGATTTTCCACAGAAATTAAGACAAGCAAATATTTTATTTCATAAGAACAAAATAACACAATCCAAATACATAAAGACAAACACCTACAATTTAAGAGGTAGACAATTTCTCTCAAACCTAAACCTAATACTCAAAACCACAATATCATGCATACCCCAACCCGAAGCATAATAAGCCATATTTATATCCCATAATAGTAACTAATAAAAGACTAAACAACCCTTAGGCATCAACACAATAATACTTCCCTCCCAAAAAGACATATTATCTTCAAGATGGAAAAAATAAAACTATAATGACTCAAACCAAAAAGATAACTTCTATAAACAATAATCAAAATAGCTATGTGATATGACTAAATGATTCCTAGAACTTCTATGTGAATCTTTTTAGCCTAGACTTTCCAAATGTTCAATTTAGTGTTTGTTTGGGACAACCATCTGACTGCGTTGTGTTTCAGACAGTCACTATAGCTCTGTTTGGGAAATTGTATTCTTGTGTTTTCTAAAAATTTAGGTGACAACAAGCTATTTTCTTGCAACTCTATCTATGAAAGTATGATGGTTGTAACAAATTTGTTAAATATAACTTTCGGTAAAAAAAATATTTACAATACCCACCATCTATTTTTCAACCACAGTTTTATAACCATCTTTACAAAAATACTGCAATCGTCCCAAACGGCTCGTTTTCTTAGCTCACTAAAACTAAATAAATTTAACACTATAGTCAACTTTAACATTTCTTTCAATGGAAAATACTGAATCAAACTTTCGTGAGGGAGTTATAAACTTTTTCAAGTAAATATCCTTAATTTAAGATGATATTTAAAAATGATATTTACTTTAAAATGTCCAATACCATAATGAAAAACTTCCCTCCACCAACTTCCACCCAAAAAAATTTTAAAAATAAGGTAGGACCAAATTGATTTGTTTTTTTATGAATTGAGGAATTAAATTAAACAACTTTAAAAATCTGAGACTTAAACACATCTAATAAGTTTAGAGACCATTTTGATAATTTAATCTATGTTATATGAAACTAAGTTTTGTGCAATAAAAAGATAATGAAATAAATGCATGGAAAAATTAGAAATAATAGAATGAGGAATGCTTATATTAAGACATGGTCGTAGCAATGATGTAATTTCTATAAAGATTAAATAGTGGAAAATAGACTTAGAATAATTATATATAGTTCGAGATAAAAAATACACCTCTTAAGTCAGTAGATAAAATTATTGTAGAGGAATTAGTGCAAAAAAAGGGGTAGAATAAATATAATATGAATAAAATTAAAAATATTGCCAAAATATTTTTTATGAAGAGATATAGCACCTCATACGGCACCTAACATAAACAAATAGAAAATGAGGATTAAGAAGCTGACCATAAATTGCTAATATAAGTCTAATAATAAGGATGAAAATAATGAACCTTAATACAGCATTTAGAATTCTTAGTTAGAGTGATAAATCAAAAAAAAAATGACTAGTGGTTTATATGTTAATAAAAAAAAAAAAAAAAGGTTGCTTCTAAATATGAGTGTTGTCATATTACAAAGTAAAAGGCTCATAAAGAATGTACTACTACTTACACTTGTAAACTCGCTTAAATCTCCATCCAGAGATTTCTTTAGCACCCCTGTTCAATAAAATGATAAAGATTTTATTAGACAAACAAAAAAACATGTTCATAAAAAAAGATGCAAATTGTTGGTTAGTAGATTACCTTAAAGGATAACAGTGTTTACCTTCCATGTCGTATAGTATTACATAATTCAATCCAGTATCTGACAACCATCTCAACAACTTTTTGATCTTTTGAGTGTTTCTAGCTTCTTTACTATCTACCACAACTGCCAGGCACCTAAGCTTATCAAGCTGGAAATGCCGATAACTTTCTAGTAATCCAATTGAGATAATGTAAGATTCTATAACTTGCAGTAAATGAGAAACTAATTGATGGATACTCAAAAATAGATGGATCATCCACCAGAATAGCCCCAGCACCAATTTCAAAAACAATGGTGTTTCAAACCTCTGCATGTTCAAGAAGGCATATACATTAAAAGAAACATCTCAAAATAACTTTCAATATCAAAAGCATCTACATAAATAATAGTAAATTCTGAATCTAAAAAAGTATGAAAAAGTTACAAATACAAAAAAAGCATATCATGAGCTCTTTGGTTTCAACAAGATACTTAATGCTACAAAGTGATCATTTAAAATAGCATGTATTCATGACTAAGAACGAAGCTCGAAGATTAAATTTGTTTGAAATTTGTATTGTTTTGTAGCTTGTAATAAAATTAACAAGGACAGTAGGCAACCAAGCTCAATTCAGATCAAGCTAATATAATATTAGAGTAAAATATGTATATGTATAAATGTCTATGCAGATACAAGAATACAAGTACTTTGCATTTATGCATCAATAAAAGTAATAAATCGTGTATGGATGCATGCCTATGTAAGAATGAAAATGAAATTTAATTTCTTGTTTGTAAATTATTAAAAATAGATCATTTTAAAAGCTCAATAAAAATTTCCGTTCTAAGAAAAAAATTGTGACTGAATAGAGTCAACCACATCCTAGACTTAAATCAGATCAACCTTGAATCAAGCAGCTTAGAGCTTACTGCTAACCAAGGTTAGATGAGATCAATATCCATACTTGCATTCAGTTTAAGGTTATCAACATTCTCTTGACCTAGGTTTATTGGTTCCAAGAGAGTCAAGCTCAACTTTCATTGTTATCAAGGGTGCAGTAAAAAATTAAAAAATATATAACATCAAAAAAGAATAGTAACATCAAATGTTTTCTATCTTGTAGCATAACCAAACTTGCTCATTTGAATATATAACATAGAAATACTTGGAGAAAGAACATAGGCTTGGCCTCAATTATGTCTTCCCAGTTTTATCATCTTCCACAAATGATTTGGGGAATAAATTCATGAGACTCATTTCTTGTTATCCTAACAAAATTCAACTAAGTGCTCATTTGGTTGCTTATAAAGATAATATGTTTTAAAAAATAATGACTTTCTTTCAACTCATTTTGAGAGTAAAATCAAAATCATGATATTTGAGAGAAATATTAAGAGAATTTATGGAACATAAAGCCTATATTGGTTTCTAACTACAATCTAATAAAGATAAAACAAGCAAATTGTATCTTTTCTCAAAACATGTTTCCTATGTTCAAGCAACCAAATGGGGCATAACCAACCTCCCAAATTAAAATATATATAAGGAAAAAACAATAATATTTAAAAAAAGAGGCAAAAAGATACCCTGATTGCCCAAGCAATGGTATCTGACTAGATCCAAAAAAAGACTTCATAAATGAAAAAAAAAGAGTACATACTGAAATTAGTGTGGCTGCTGCTTTTGTCATTTTGACCACTCGTCTCAAAGCTGAATATCTGCATAGAATAAAGAGAAGTGTCAGCATATCACAAATCCCCAATTTATATGTCAAAAAAAACAAATGAATGAATTTACTATTATTTTTATGGAAAGGGGTAAGATGAGGAGAAGAAGAGAAAATAAAATGGTCTTTAGTGCTTCTCTCCCATGATTCCATTGAGAAATAATAATCAATTGGTTTTGATAAAGTATAACGTACGATTTCAAAAATATGAAAATAGCAATAGCATTAGCAAGCTTGCCAGACCCATAATCTTATGAGTTTGCACTATCATGCCAAGTATCTGGTAATAACGAGAGCATGGCTTCAATTATATGACTTCACAGAAAACTTACAAGCTTACTGGTTGTCAGCCATGAAACGGCCTGGGTCAAGAAGTTTAGTTTTAAAATGTTTAAGTGATGATAAATTATATGAGATAAAATAGAAACTATCAGCCAAATTAAACACAAAAAGATGAGATGAAAAACTAATTGTTCTAATTTTAAATCGAAGTTTTGCTCAAACTAAAAAATTAAGCTAAACAGGTAGGACCAATTTGGGCTTGACCCAATCTAAGTTGCTTCAACCCCTTTACCCAAAGGCAAGTGAGCCGATAATCCCCTCTAGAAGTGATCTGCGTCGACAATCCCATGACTAGCATTCTATCCCCAATGACTGTTTATGGTGAGAGCAACCATACTAAATACCTCAATAGTAACAAATGAGATCTCCCACACCTGGAGTCATCCAAAAACCAAGAAATACTTCCTTATTACTATTGCCAAAACACTCGCATTGTCACTCATTGTTAGTTTTGAAAGAATCCCCATGAGAGGATGGAGAGATTCATATTTTTTGGTGGATGTTTGGTTTGAAAAATAACTAATGTATGGTAAAATGTTAAGACATTAGGCGTTAAGTGATCCTGCAAAAGAACCCATGAATCAATTTATACCCTTTCCTGTCGGAACAAAATCCAATCGCCGCATTCCACTCCTCTTTTAGAGACTATTTAGCCGCAGTGTTTAACAAGCATTTAGGGAGGATTTAGGTTAAATTTATCGAAAAGGTTAGTATGGAAAAAAAATACATCCCATGTAATTTTAAATTCCAAAAGAGTTCACTTCGCCATCAATCTCGTGTGGACTAAATTTGTGTACTCGACGGCTTGTTAAAGGAAAGAAACGCGCGAAGGGGAAGAAAGGGGAAAGAATACCAGCGTCGTTGAGTCCTTCTCCCGCCAGCTCCCGTCGACACTTCTCGCTTCGCCTGCACCCTCGAGGGTTTCCAGTAGGAGAGGAAGGAGGTGAACAAAGGAGCTTTTGGACACCTTCGTCTCAGGAACCCTCCTCTCCTTCGGACACTGCCATCCCGTCGATCGATGGCCTCCAGCAAGCTCCAATCGGCGCTGTCGGCGGGAGGCTCGCGGAGATAAGGAAGGTGGTGGAGTTTATGTAAATTATAAAGTTTAAGGCGTTAGATGTGTAAATTAGGATCGCTTGAAGTTGTTTGAATAAATCCGCCATTTAATTAATACTATTTATATTTTAATTTTAACAAAAAAAATTCTTGCTGTTAATTAATTTTATAGATTATAAATAATTATTGGTGGAAATACAATTAAAATAAATTTATTTTTATTTAATATTTTAATTGATTATTAAATAATGGTTCATTAAAAGTACCCTCTTAGTTAAATTATAATTGATAGTAGCTCTTGAATCATAAATTATTTTCCGTCAACACACCCCGATAGTTAAAGCTGGGCGAGAGAAAGTATGTTGAATCCATACATCTCTTTTCAGTAGGGCTGTCAAAACGGCTTATTGTTCGCAAATAGCTCGTGCTCGGCTCGTTAATTTTTTTCGATAAGTTAACGATCTTAAAGAGCCGAACATGAACTAAGATGTGTTTGTTCGTGTTCGGCTCGTTTTGACTCGAAATACTACTCATCAAGTATATATATATATATACATATATATATTAAGTAGTATTTTAAAAAAATCTAATTGACTACAAGGCTACAAAGAGTTATAATCAATTAAAATATTGATTAAGAAAATAGAATAAAAAATATTAAATTAGATTTAAAAAATGTTTTAATATAAATAATAATTTTTAAATCTTGCTCAAACATTTTTTGTCTTATGGCTACATTATTAGGGTTTTTAAAAGGACTCTTTGTTCGTGAGGCTCGTTAAGCAAACGAGTCGAACATGAATATAATTTTTGAGCTCGAAATATAAACGAGTTGAACACGAGCTGAGCATGACTCACTCGTGTTCGGCCGTTTACACCCCTACTTTTCAGAAGATTAAGCCTCGAGAGTTAGAGAAGCGAAAGGAAGGAGAAAGAGAGAAAAAAGTTCTAGAAAATTCTTAGTAGTTAGGTCAGGCGGAAATCCTCATATTAGGATCTTTTTATTCATCCTCAAATCTTCTATTTATAGCGGGTCTTCTTCTACAATTATAGAAATGAGAGAGTAATTATGAGAATAGCCCTCAATTGTCTGAAAGAAAGAGCGATTTTATAAACCACCTTACAACAATTAATGTGTTGATTTAATACTAACTTTAGATCACGATTTGAATTTTGGGTACGGCGGCGATTAGTCAGTCAACGTGTTTTGATTCGATAGACTAAAGAAAAAAAAATATACTGATAGTAGTATTGATGGTAGTATTGTTGATACAATGTTAAATTTTTAGTGATATGTAAATATAAATATTTAGTTGTTAGATATGTAAATACATAAGAATTGTTGAATGTGCATGTATGTAAATATGCTAAAATAACAATAATCACTAATTTTTAACTTCTAGCTTAGGTTTAAGTTGCAGCTTTGATAAAACATAATTTTACCCCCCAAAAAAAAGTACATCTTTTTCATGGTATAAGATTAAGGGCCCATTTGGGGCAGCTTATAAGTGCGGTAGCGTTTTTGAAAATGCCGCATAACCGTTTGGTTTGCGCATTTTTTAAAACGTTGTTTGTCGCATTTGAGTTTTTTACGCTAAACGCAGACCGCAGGGTCAACCCTTGCCGTCGACCCGCAAGCCGCATTTCTAGATAAACTGTTTATCCTGAAACACACAAGTTGAACCAAATAGACCCTAAAACATCAATCAAAATGTTTATATAAATATAAGAGAATTTTGTGGTACCTATGTAAATTTCCTGAATAATTATAAAGTATAAAGAAAGTAATGATATATATATATATATATATATCACGTCAGATGTGTTCATGCATGGATATCACCGCCATATTTGCTTGCTGTAGTTGTCTTCTTCCTTCCTGACTGCAACGTGAACTTTTTGATATTTTATTGGGAAGTCTGCTGCTCTGAGCAGTCTTTCACAAGTGAAGGAATGAGATATAAGAAGAATAAGGACGAGAGAAGAAATCCATCTCCCTCTCTCTTCCCCATATCGGTTGCTTCCTTTTCAAGGACGAGGCGTAGCCCATCTAGCCATCTTTCTATTAAAAAAATAATTAAAAAATAAAAAATCTTTTACTTTAATATCAAAAATAATATATATTTTTTTTAATTAAAATCATTTTTTTCTCTTGTTCTAGAAAATATTACAACTGTCGTTCTGATACGAACGAATAACAGCATGAATCGCACGATATCGTGCGTCTAATGACGCGATAAGATTTAATGGCATTTCATGTACACAATGTGTGTGTGTGTGTGTGTGTGTGTGGGTGTGCGTGCGTGCGTGTGCGTGCGTGTGTGTGCGTGCGCGTGCGTGCGTGTGTGTGCGTGTGTGTGCGTGATTTTTAAAATGTGAAATAAACTTTTTATTGTATGGTGAAAATTGCATAGATATAAAAGTGAAGTTTAGGGGTTATAAATGTAAAAATATTCTTAATTTTTAAATATGAAATATACCTTTTTCAAACATTAATCAAGTGGTATAAATATAAAAACTTATATTTTAGGTGAGGTGAGAATCCATCCCATCATATAATTACCTAGCTTGTGGCAATGCATATAGTAATTGAATGAGTGACTTTTAACTACATTTATGTTTTCTTTAAAAGCATTTGAAGTTCCTTTGAAGTAAATAATAATAATAATTGTAATAATTACATAAAAAACACTCAAAATATTATTATTTATAAATTCAACGCTCAATATATATTTTTTTACGTGACCAAAATTTTAATTTTTACATATATATCACTTACCAGAGTATGAAAAGGAAGGAATATGTCAAAATAGTCCTTTAATTTTTTGCAGATGATTATTTTAGTCTCGGAATATATAAAAGTGTAATTTAGGGCTCGTTTGGGGCAACTAATTTGGTGCGGCGACGTTTTGAAAACGCACCTGATCTGTTAGGGTAAACTGCGTTTTTGCAGGTTATGCATTTTGAAACCGCATCTTTCTAGGTGCGGTGACAGCTTTCTGGCAGCGGTCTGACTTTTCAAAAAAAAAAATAAAAAAATTTCAATGGTCACCGCACCTGACTTATCAGTAGATTATTCAATAAGCTGCAACATACCCTTAGTCTCCATTCTTTATAATATGGGCTAAAACAGTACTCATAAAAGTTTATTTCAGCCCCAATTTAAAGAGTTTGAGGATAAATTTTATATTCTTATAGACTTTGGGACTATTTTTGCACTTTACTCCATAAAAATACAAAAAGTTTGTGTGATAAGTATGTAAATGCAAATAAATGTTACAAGTATCTTATATTTTTAAAGTTAATATTAAAAATAAAATATATATTAAAAAAATAAATTTTTTTATTCTTGGAAATGCACAAGGCAAATTACATGTGCAAAGGTTAAGATAGAAGGAATCCAAAGATCTACTTGTGGCCACTTGTGCAATCACATTTATATTTAATTCATTTAATTTTTTTACAATAATTTATTTTAAAATAAAGATGTTCAAATTTTGATTTAGCACATATAAATTATACTAATCAAAAATAAATTTGATAAATGGAAATTAGCTAAATCTTAAAAATAATATTTGACTTAATTTATTTATAAATTAATTAAAATGTATAATATATTTATCTTAAGATAAATTAAATACATAAAAAATATTTCATATAAGTTTGCTCAAATTTAATAAAATTAATTTTTTATTGGAAATAAATTTAATTAAAAATTCACCCATTTATCAATATATTTGAAACCCTCAATTATTATTGCCTAATTATTTTATTTTATTTAATTTAATTTTCTTACAAGGTGTTGACCTAACCATTTGGAGGCATTTATTATTTATTTGGCAGTGTGCCTCAGATGTACGGACAGGATTGTCACGTGAGGATTTGGACTCTTATCTCTCACTTTCCTTCTTAAAAAGGAATCTAATTTTAAATAATAATTAAATTTATTTCTTATTATAATATATTATTAAACATTACATTTTTTTTTTAATTGATGTATTTTACATTATACAAATAGGAAGTGTCAAAAGAGTTCCCGACTAATCTCGACTATAAATTAATTTGGACATAAAATTATTAGACCTCAATTTTAAAATATTTGATAATTATTTTGAAGCTTCTACAAGTTCTGAGGCTAAAATAATCTTATATAAATAGTCGGTGATTATTTTGACACTTTACTCGTGTATTAAATATGATTGTAATATAACATTGTAAAGAAAATTCAACGATAACTAATTTTAATGTTGTTCTGGACTGAAGACCTAATAATAATTTTCAGTCTTTCTAGCTACTTATTATTGACAGCAGCTCGCCGGCCGCCTCTGTCAGCCGTCGTCAGCCACCCCTTATCTAGCACGTGGTTACAATTATTTTATTTAAACACAAGTTTGCTTAAGAACAATTATTTTATTTAGGTGGGAGGTATTAAACACATAAGAATTGTGTGCTATGTATTTAAATGTCTTTTTTTAAGTGAAATCTTTTTAGTCTTAGGGTTTATAGAAATGTCAAAATAAGTCTCAATTATCATAAAATTGAGCTCTAATGATCACAATTAACAAGTATGCGAAGAATTTTGACATTTTTATAAACTCTGGGACTAAATTGAGCCCATATAAATAGTCCGTGAACTATTTTGGCACTGTAGTCAAAGATAAAAGTCAATGATTTTGAACAACTTGAAAATCTTGGTATTGATCAAAATATTTATTCTTATTTGTAAGCAATAAATTATAATAAGTAAATGGCAAAAATTTTCTTAAAATTTTAATTCAAAATACATTTTAGGAATTTTTTGACGAGGCAAAAGACCAAATTGTCCTTCCATATAAGTAAATAACTGAATTTGACT